AGAGAACACTGAATTAACCGGATCACTGGTCGTCTTAACGGCCTCAGTTAAAGCCCACATCATCGTCTAAAAGGCCTCTGGGGACCTGGACGTTATGTCTGCCTTCCCGGGGATGCCGTGGTGTTGCGTTACTGCCTGCGACGCTCTCACGTGGCCTCGACGAGCTCCACTCTGCCCTGAATGAAGGCGCGTCTTCCCCACGAGTCCTCAGGCTGCTCGCTTATGATCTGCATTTCACTAAATTCCAGAGCGGTGAGCAGAAGCCCCTCGCTCTGACCTGTCGGACGGACGCTAAAGCACTCGGAGTCCAATATGTTTTGGTACCAGAGCTGCAGGTCAGAGGAGTGGAAACGCCGCCATACAAGGAGCTTCACAGATCAAAACCGCGCTGACCCACGGCTCGGTCCGTTTACTGTAAACCTCCAGTCGACCCCGCCGTCCTGTAATGGCAGCAATTCCCTTTGTGAAGCTTCACTAACTGCAGGAGGTCAGGACACGCTGTCACTTCTGGGAGTTTGATCCAGAGCGCCGTCCCAAAATGATATCATCTATAGTTGTTAGTGACATAATAAACACACCATTAAAATGCTGATGAAATGAATAACTCCTCATTTTTGCTCCATTCCAAGAAACGGGCGGGAAGGCGAACTGTAGATGTTATCTGTTGGGCTAAATTAACTCCTTTTTTAGCTCCTATGTTTCACCAAGTTTTTCACTCGGGTTCAAAACTTTCTGCACATTCAGAATCTGTCCCACATGTCTGCGTCACCGCTCTGCTGCCCCTTCAGACCGTCTGACAGGCACAGTTTGGGACTGGTCAGCAGGCAGAAATCTCATCACTAATCCACCAGGGCTGAACGATTTGGGGGGAAAATCTAATTGCGATTGTTCTGCCAGATTATTTAAAAATTTTTCTTATTATTGAAGTTTTGCATAAGTTCAGTTGTTAACGCCGGGCTATTTTTGGCTGAAGCCGTGTGAAGCAGCATAGAGCAGATGAACCAGGCAGGAAGTCGGACACAGAACGGCATAGAGAATCCGGTCAGTTTTCAAAATAAAACACCTTTTGCAGATTCCCGATCGTACAGCAACACTAAACACAGTTAAAACAAACAGAAACACTTTAACTACGTAGCTACTTAACCATAGTAGAAACACAAAAATCAAGGACAACTGAACAAGTCCGCAAAATCAGGCAGGCAAAACGCTCTTATTCTGAAATACTCCATGTGGATATGTACCGTTAGCCTGCAGAGAGTGGAACGGGCTCACAGAGAGCCGTGTGTAGTTGAAGCACAAAATGACAAATTAACGACATGTTAACATGTAGGCTAAACGCTTGAAACCACCTTCTGATATGTGGGCAGGTGATGAGGTCACATTTCAGTCTTTCACCATGTTTGTGCTTCGTTTTATAACATGAATGGATTTTTTGCTTCCTGAGTTTTAATTTAGAGCAACGTTTGGAGTGCGTTAAATGAATCGGTCAGATGTGCGAAGTGGATCAGGAATAATGATGATAAATTGTTAGAGAAGCCAGATAACGAACAGATGTCCTGGCGTGAGTTTCACTCTCCGTCTTGTCAAACTCTTACCCACGACTTTCCCTCTCAGGTGGCCACGGGTTGAAATCTGACACGTCCCCGATGAGGCGCCAGGAGGAGGAGGAAGACGACCTGCTGGAGGAGGAAGTGGGCGTGGCCAGGCCTGTGCAGATCGTGGTGGCGGACGAGGAGGAGCACTCGTTCTCGCTGCAGGAGGAGGCGCTGGAGCGGCTGCTGCTGCAGGAGGAGGTGCGGGACCTCCACGTGGTCGTCGTCTCCGTGGCCGGGGCTTTCCGGAAGGGCAAGTCGTTCCTGCTGGACTTCATGCTGCGCTTCATGTACAAACAGGTACGCTGTCCACGGAGAAACTCAGAGCACGCCATGCTGACGTGTGTTCTGACTCTGATGTACGCCCTGCAGAGTGACGGCCAGGTTTCAGTATTTAGTAACGTCAGATTTGATGGAATATAATGAGAGACACACAAGTCTTTTAGGGTGAAGCTGCTTTATTCAGTGTCTTTAATGTTTTAGCTTCTACTTGACCGATCAAGCAGGTTCCTGTACTTTGGGAAAGTACTACCCCCTCAGAGCAGGGACATTTTTTTGTAGGGGTAAAACAAAGTGCCCAGAACTTAATTTAGACCCTGGTCACTGCGGAGTTTCAGGGTGAAGTTCCTGTGGTGGAAACGCAGCTGAAGGTTCGGTCCAGACAGCCAGAGTTTGAGGAACTGTACACACACGTGAAACCATGAAAATGTCTTTTGGGAAGCTGGACATTTTTTCCTGCAGCAGTTGTTGAAACGGCGACTGACCTTTTGGCCGTGCTAATCTACGGTAAGCACTGAGGAACATTCTGGAGGCTTGCATCGCGCTGTAAAGAGGATTTCAGGCCGGCACAATGGCAGCTCTGTGGCTGGGCCTCCTCAGAGCTCACTGCTGCTTATTCCACACATAAAGGCCATCTTTATGCATAGAATAAGCCCCGCCCACACGGATCGGGTCACGGCGAGGGTTTGCTTTTCACACACACCTCATGCACAGGTCAGAGTTTGGAGGATGGGATCGGCCTGCGTGAAGGACCTCATGTTTTATCTGACTACACAGTCTGTGTGTCAACGACAGGAAGAAGAAGTCGAGGGTGACGAATATCAGAGTCTACAGCGCAGGAGGCGCCCAGGTCTGTTTGAGAGACATCAGAGGCGCCGCTGGGTCTAAAAATCATGACCTCAGTTTTACTCTGGTTGAATTTAAGGCCGTCCAGGCTTTCATAGCGTTAATGGAGGACAAACTCTGACAAAGTTCAATGCTTTACCATGAAGACGCCGTCTGTGTGTCGAGAGCTGGAGGCGGGACCAAATCTAAAAACCCTGATCCTGTATTTAAAAACACCAACCTTTTAAAACCACTGAGGTCGTTCTCCTTTTGGTCCTTCCTGTTTGTGGCCCCCACAGCTTCCTGTTTCTACAGTAAATGCTGTTCGTTACGTGAAGTAAACTTAATTCTGCTTCAGAGTTGAACAGTGTGATATCCTCTCCCCCCTCCCCTCCCCGGTCTCTGTCCAGGCGTCTGGTTCGTGGGTCGGCAGCGAGGAGGAGCCTCTCACCGGCTTCAACTGGCGGGGCGGCTGCGAGCGTGAGACCACGGGCATCCTGGCCTGGAGCGAGGTGTTCGTGGTGGAGAAACCCGGCCGCAAGGTCAGTTCACATGCCGGGTTTCTGCCCAGGCAGCGAAGTACCACACTAACACGCGATGGCGCTGTCGTGACATGAATGTGCTGCTGCTGTCGTTGCAGGTTGCAGTTCTTCTAATGGACACACAGGGGGCGTTTGACAGCCAGTCGACCATCAAAGACTGTGCCACGCTGTTCGCCCTGAGCACCATGACCAGCTCAGTCCAGGTCAGCAGTCCACAAAGCGTCATGGGTCAAGGTCATCAACCTGTAGAGGGCTGTAGCTGAGGGGGGGTCAGACCAGGTCTGCTGCAGGCTAAACAACCGCACAGAGACCTCTTTAAGAGGGAGGGCGTCTCCAAGTGGACTCACATAGAAGCAGATATGTGAGAAGCTGAACTATTAATAACTCTAAATCCATCTCATCTGTGTAAAAGCAACGTTATGTCACCTCAGCGCGTTGCATTTTTAGCTGTTAAAACGCTCTGCTCGCGCCGCCTCAGGTCATTAAGTCCATTAAACATGTGCGACAGCGACTCCTTAGTAATGACCTCGAATAATTTCTGTACAAATCTGTGTGGTTCCTTCTCTCATTATTTAGTTTCAAATACTGAATTTGATATTTAATGAGTCCTATTAGTGCAGCTTTGTGTGTTACACTTGATAAACCTGCAGCAGATACACCTGGGCGACGGCGGTGCCTGATTTAATGTAATTAAGATGAGCTTGAACATCGACAGGTGGGTTTTGAGTTAGAAAAACAAGAGGCAGTTTGTAACTCACTAGCAGCTGGGACTTTCCTGAGAGTCCTCCGCTTTCTTCAGTTTAAAATTAATTCGCTGATAGTTGTCGGTACAATCAACGGTACGCAGCAGACGTGAACTGTTATTAGTTAACTCTGCGAGCTGTATATTAACGAATCATTCACGGTTTAAAGGTTTCGGGTAATTTTTGTTCAGCCTCTCTGCAGCTGTTTCCACCTGACCTTTATTTTCTTTGTGAGATGGAAGGATTTAGAAAGTTGCTGCGGAGAGCCTCCAGCTGCAGGAACACGTGGATTATGTATAATATCAGGAGCTCAGGCTTCATCCAGCAGAGGGAAGTGCGCCGGTTCCCCTGGCAACACAACCCATAGTCTATTAGAGGGGGAGCGGGGGCGCAGGAGGTCGCACACGTTAAGCACAAACTGCTTTTATATTGTGAGAAATAACAGGAAGTCATCGCTCCCAGTAGCGCTAGCTTCGTAGCGGAGCGTTCAGGCGCAGTCAAATCAACGCAGCAGCTGGTTTATTAATCCAGCGCCTGTGTGAAAAAACAATGAGAGGAGAGGCGACTGCTGGAAGTGGAGGCGTCGTGTTAAAGTTCACGATCTGCTCGCTCAACAATTATTTGATAAATGGTTTTAAAACGCATCAAATGATCCATTCTGATCATTTTGGCGCTGGTGATTTCCCTTTGGCGCTCGCTAAAAGCTTTTCCCCTGGTCTGGACCAGATGAACGGAGCTCCAGGTGCGAGAGCAGCCGGTCTGTTTCCCTCACGGCCCCCTGGATGTAAGGGCCCACAAGAGGTTGCCCAGCTGACTAACGGGCTCAGGTGTCTTCTTGTTGTGTGTTTCAGGTGTACAACCTGTCCCAGAACGTCCAGGAGGACGACCTCCAGCACCTGCAGGTCAGGACTAATCAGATATGCAGACAGTAGTTTCTGAGCTTCATGACTGCAGGGTTAGATTTTAATCTGCTGGCTGTTTCCTGTCCTCAGCTGTTCACGGAGTACGGGCGGCTGGCCATGGAGGAGGTCTACGAGAAACCCTTTCAGGTGAGATCTGCAGAACGCGTTCAGAGTTTCATTTACCAGATGACCAAACCAGACTGGATTCTTTTAGTTTTAAGGCACTGAATCGGCAGAAGCTCGTGTTCCTTCACGCTCCTCCTCTTCTGCTTTGTAATGTAAACAAATCTAAAGCTGAAACATCCTCTGCATAAAGTGTTTTTGTTAGAATCCATCATGGATCAATGACCTGACTGTGTCCCTCCGTTCAGACTCTGATGTTCCTGATCAGAGACTGGAGTTACCCCTACGAGCACCCGTACGGTCTGGAGGGAGGGCGGAGCTTCCTGGAGAAACGGCTGCAGGTGAGCAGTGAGCCTCTGCAGGGCGGCGTCAGTAAGGCCGGGCCAAACGGGCAAAAATGTTTTCACAATAAGAAAGATAATCGATAAAGTTCAAATCATGATTTCTTTCAAGTTTAAAGGCTGATTTTTGCTCCTGAGTGAAAATTGAAGAAACCAGATGGTTAAACTTTTCTTTATGGTCAGAATGGGACAAACAAACACTTCACACGTCTGAGGGAGAAATATTATAACATGTTTTCACTCCCTTTTCCTCAACATGATAAACATCTCAATAGAAAATTAAGTGCTAATTTGTTAGAAATTCAAATGAATTAAATCAAACATTTGACGATATATTGAACATTGGTTATTTTTGTTATTGAGGAAAATTATATTGCGATAATTATCTTTATTATTTTTTTTCCCGGCCCCAAGTGGAAAGTATTACTACTGTAATATGTACTGTTGTTTTGTTTTACAGACTTTATTATAAAGTAAATTTGGTGCCACAAGTATTTCAGTTGATGGCGTCTGTGTGTTCAGGTGAAGCAGAACCAACACGAGGAGCTGCAGAACGTCAGGAAACACATCCACTCCTGCTTCTCCAACATCGGCTGCTTCCTGCTGCCTCACCCCGGCCTCAAGGTGGCCACCAACCCTCACTTCGACGGCCGGCTCCGAGGTAGAACGCTAACGTTAGCCGCAGCAACGAGCCGCCCAGCCACGGCGAGACTTTAACTTTAATAATCAAATTTAACGATGTGCGTTTGTGTCTCAGATATCGATGAGGATTTTAAGAAGGAGCTGGTGAACCTCGTCCCGACGCTGCTCTCCCCAGAGAACCTGGTGGAAAAAGAGATCGGCGGAGTCAAAATCACCTGCAGAGACCTGCTGCACTACTTCAAGGTGAGTTCATACCTGAGTGTGTCTGCGTCGCTTCATCTTTCACTCTCTCACTGCGTCGGAGGAAGCAGGAAACATTCATGTTCTGGATCCATCGTTTCTCAACTCGTCCCCCTCAAAGATCTGACGCCGTCGTTTCCTGGAGCTTTAAAAGTCCTGATCAGACAGAAGTTAATAGTATTTTTTGTTTAGGAGTACTAAATCATTATTTAATAATGCAGTAAGTCTGCATCAGACGGTCTGATCACAGATCACGACATGGACCTGTGAAGTGCACAAATGGCTGTAAAGGCAGCTTATGTGTCTCCATGAGTGAATGAATATATACAGTATCTCACAAAAGTGAGTGAGTAAGGAGTAATTTTTCTAAATATTTGATAAAATCTTTTCATGTCTCAACACTGAAGAAATGACCCTTTGCTCCAGTGTAAAGTAGTGAGTGTACAGCCGTTAATGTCTAAACCGCCGACAACAACAGTGAGGACACCCCTAAGTGAAAATGTTCAAATTGGGCCCAATTAGCCATTTTCCCTCCCCGGTGTCATGTGACTCGTTAGTGTTACAAGGTCTCAGGTGTGAACGGGCTGCAGGTGTTAAATCTGGTGTTATCGCTCTCAAACTGGTGACTGGAAGTTCAACATGGCAAAGATCTCCTGAGGATTTATATCAAGATGTGTCGACCTTCCATCAATATTAATATTATAATAATTAGCATATTGTTTTATAATGTTTCTATAGTATTTTTTTGTAACTTGGTCATTTTTATATTATGTGTGTTCTCGACTGTTACTGTGCCTTTAATGTGTTTATTGTATTTACCAAACTGACAAACCTAAAACGTATTCTGATAAATCTGAAATATTGTAAATGACAATTTATTAAATAGTACAGAAATGGTAAATAAGTACTATTAAATTACACACATACACTGGGAGCTTCCTGTCACTGGTTCACATGGCGGTCACACCAGAAACAATCAATAAACATCAACCGGGGTCATCGGCAGACCAGAGTTTAACGCTGCGTTCCAGGCAACTCGGAACTGGGAAATTTCCGACCTCCAACGTGGAAAAAGTAGCACGGAACGCAAACCTGAAGTCAGATTTCCTACTCGTGAACTCGCAGAGAAAATCTGTACCCCGAGTTCAAGAGCAGCAGCTGAATGACGTCGCGGCAGCTCCCCTGGAAGCGCACGCTGTAGATTTATCACTTGTTTTTAATAAAAACACCAAGTGCAGAAACCTGCCATAGAAACACAAGTTTGTCACGGTCCGCCATGTTTGTTGTTTATATTTAGCGTCACGCACCTGGAAATTTCCCAGTGCCGACGGGTCCGGAACGAGGCGCGAGTCTGGCGTTCACTCCGAGCCGGACTAAACTGGTTGAACCAGCAGCAGATGTTTAGAGTTTGGCTTGGTCCTCCTGATTGTTCCTGTTCTGTCTGTGATTTCAGGCTTACATGAAGATCTACCAGGGAGAAGAGCTTCCTCACCCCAAGTCCATGCTGCAGGTTAAACGGCGCCGCCCGCTGGACGCTTCGTGATATTTAGGTCCTCAAACTGTTTAGAGTCACGTGCATGTTGAATTTGTGTTTTTGTCATCTGTTACCTAGGCAACAGCTGAAGCCAACAACCTTGCAGCTGTAGCAGGAGCCAAAGACTTGTACAACAAAAGCATGGAGCAGGTAACGCATCACTTCCTGTTCGGCCGGCTCTAATTGGACGTCGGCGCCGCAGCCCGTTATAACATCTCCTGTGTTCCGTGTCAGGTCTGCGGCGGCGACAAACCCTACATTTCCCCGACGGAGCTGGAGCGGCGCCACGCAGAGCTGCGGCAGGCGTCGGTGAAGCAGTTCCGCTCCGTCAAGAAGATGGGCGGCGAGGATTTCTGCCGGCGCTACCAGGAGCAGCTGGAGGCGGAGCTCGACGAGGCCTACGCCAACTTCGGCAAGCACAACGACGGCAAGAACATCTTCTACGCCGCGCGGACGCCCGCCACGCTGTTCGCGGTCATGTTCGTCATGTACGTGGTGTCGCTGGTCACGGGCTTCGTGGGCATCAACTCCGTGGCCACGCTGTGTAACCTGGTGATGGGCGTGGCTCTGACGGCGCTCTGCATCTGGGCTTACGCCAAATACTCCGGGGAGTTCCGCGAGGTCGGAGGAGTCATCGACCAGGTGGCCGAAACCCTCTGGGAACAGGTGAGAGTGAAGGTTTTCTCTCGCAGTCGCAGGTGACGTAGAGTTTGTTTCGACGATGAAACGCTCTGTTAATCTGCTGAAGTGTTTTTAGAGAGATTCAGCTTCCTGTGTGGTGCGAAAGATGCTCGCGGTTAAACGGCGAGATCACAACTCTTACATGACACCATCAGGACCCACCGAGTCATTAGGTTTATTACGGCTGAACGTACGATAGGCTCGATCATTTTTAGAAGTAATTATAAACGTGACACAAGTGGACGAAGGCGAAACTGACAGGTTTTAATGAGGCTCGTTAACGACGGGGTCTTCCTCACTGAGGACGGCCGTCAAACTGAAACGTGTCGACAGAGCGTCACATTGAATTCAGCTGTTCTGCTCTCTTTCATCCTCTTTATTCTCTCTCTTAATGCTTCCAGAGGACTCCACGGAAGGTGAGGACAAATTCAGCTAATTACCTGTTTGTTGCGGATGTGTCCGTATATAAAACCTCAGACTCTGGATCAGTTAACTGGATCGTTTCCACCTGGTATGAAAATTATGGATGCACCGATCCGAAACTGTAAATCTGTCAGACACCTGTGACGGCCTGACCTTTTCTCAGTCCCTCCTTGCACTCGTATCGGTTCAGTAGTCAAGTCCCGTCAGTGCATCCCTAATGAAAATGTCATCGTCTCCTCTCACTCCTCCACCTGACCGCCTCTTCTTCCTCCACCAGATCTTCTCCAAACTCTTCGAAGTGGCTCGGAGTCGAATCCCGTTGGGAAGCCTGATCCCGGCGCCGCGGCCCCGGCTCGCCTCAAACAACAACGTGAAGAAGAAAAACTAGCGGCACGTCACTCTTACCCCCCCCCCCCTCCCCCCTCCTCCTCCTCCCACCACCACCTCCTCCCTCTGCGGCGTTTGGAAACGGCGTTTTTAGGACGGTTTGATGGTGTAAATCACTTTCTGTTCTGACTGTAGAAGGTTACCTCGCCGTGCCGGCTGTAGACCCGGATGAAGCAGTGATGTATTTTTATTAGTTGTCAGCGGGCGGGGTTACGGTATTTATTGGTGGGCGGGGCCATTAGTCTATCACTCGAGTGTCGTCACAGGTGTGCGTTCACCTGCCGGCTGACGGCGACGACTCGACATTATTGATTCCCGTTTTATGTGAATGTATGAATGAAGAGCATGACCACAGACCCTCCTCACGGCTCTCCTCCTCCTCCCGTCGACTCCGTCACGAGGAGGAGGAGGAGGCGGAGTCACAACCAAAGTTTACAGCTTTACCTGACTGAGGCGCTCAGACCGAGCGGACTGACAAACGGGCACGACGCCGTTGGGAGCGAACGGTTTCAGGGACTTTTCACGGTTACCCAGAATCACAAACGCATGGACGGCCTGCGAACGGGTTAGCTTAGCTTCAAGCCTGCCGGAGGCACAAATCTGAAAAACAAACGCACGGGCATTTAGATTCCTTCTGGAACACGTCTGTGTTTAAAGATTTTTAGAATATTTACCACAGCGAGTCTGTGGAAATGTCTGACCAAGATTATTATTATTTTTTTTTTATTCTGTGCAAAAAGTAAACGTGTGAGATCATAAAAACTCCCTGCTGCTGGATATCACGCTAAAATGAACGTTTACTTCCCCTCCTCCAAAGAGACGTCTGTGTGACCAAATCAGAGTTGTTAGCTTAGCATTACTTGGTTTTCATGAGCAGTTAACAATGTTGTTTTTATTATTTTAAAAACAGGAGTTTTTAAATAAAACACAATAAACAAACATCAGGGATGTAAAGAAACGAGACGGTTCCTGATGACGCTGATCCAGCAGAGATAACCTGAGCTGCAATCAGTCAGTAACAAATAAAAAGACAGGAATCACGTGTTTTTTAAAAGTTGTTATCTCCGTGTTGCCGCTCCTAACGAGGCGTCCATGCGTTTGTCTCGACTCGGGGGGGCGGAAATAGAGCTGAAAGTAAAATAAACTGAATTTCCTCCAAACCAGTCGAAGCTAAGAGCGTCTGTAGTCTGTGATTTTTAGACCACTTAATAATTTAATTTTTATCTTTATTATCCGTAATGATGTGATCATGACTTTCAGTATTGCCCCTCTTCTTCAGACCGACCTCGTTTAAAGTCCAGAGCTGGAACCCCGGGGGGGCGACGAGGAACCAGCTCTGTACTGAACGCACAAACGTGAGGCTTGATTTTTAAAGTTAAATGCTCCTCGAGTCTTTAATTTAATCCGGGGATTATTATTTTGGGACGGTGATGATCTTCAGTCCTCTTGATCTGACTGCCAAGAGAAGCTTTCAATGTTTAGTCCAGCTGAGACCTGTAGATAGTATTTAAATCTGTTATTTATCTGAGTGTTTCTGTCACCTCCTCCCCCTCCTGAAGGAACAATCCTCCTCCCTGTTTTTTAAAAAGCACCACAAGCCGTTTAGTGAAACACTAAAAATCCTCCACGTAAGACGAAGACGGTGTTTCTGTTTTAAAGCCAAACTTCTGATGACTGAAGGGTTCATTCCATCACGTTTCCTATTTATTTTAATTGTCATTCCATCCACACCACATCTTCACCACCACCGTGTGCTTTTTGTTTTTGTACAGTTTAGTTTTTTACAGCCTCCTCCACACACCGGGCATGTGAACCAACTCTATACATATATAAATATACATTTTTCTAGACCTTTTTGTAGCTGGGAGAACAAACGGTTCGGGGCGGTTAGACCAGATTCAGCTCACTGGATGTGAAGGAATGCTTTCGTGATTTGTGGATATGTCTAATAAATTCCTTTTTTTTATATATATATTTGTAAATTTAATCTTACATGAGCACTGCGATTCCCCCTCCTGCTCTGCTGGCGAAGAATGTTTATAATGTTTTTCTTTTCTTGGTCTTTTTGTTGCATTTCAAAGTTATTTTCGTTAATTTATTTTTCAGTACAATATTAAACCAAACTCCTACAACACAGAGCGGCATTGTTGTCTTTTTTTTATTTTAGTTTGAGATGTCTGGGAGGCAGTTTTCAGATGAGATGGACTCACACTGGTGAAACTCTCACTGTTACAGCAGCTCCACATACAACAGAGAGGAAAAGACACATTAAATAAAAAAAAAAATGGAAATAAAGCTGCAAGCGACCATTTGCAAGTTCAAACTTTTTCAAAATAATTTGTTACGAAACACATCTTGTGACTTTTGTGACGATTAAACAACCTGCTTCTGATTTATAGTCTGATCTGAGTCATGCTGCGCCTTATTCATAGCGCCCCCTAGAGATCGCTTTGGATGAAACTTTCAGGGGATGTTTCAGGCACTTGTGTGATTTCTAAAGAGGTGGTATTCTGCTTTTTGGCTTTTCCCCTCTCCTTTTGTTGAGTTATATACAGTGGGTACGGAAAGTATTCAGACCCCTTTAAATTTTTCACTCTTTGTTTCATTGCAGCCATTTTCCAAAAATCAAAAAAGTTCATTTTATTTCTCAGTAATGTACACTCAGCACCCCATCTTGACAGAAAAAAACAGAAATGTAGAAATTTTTGCAAATGTATTAAAAAAGAAAAACTGAAATATCACATGGTCATAAGTATTCAGACCCTTTGCCGTGACACTCATATTTAACTCAGGTGCTGTCTATTTCTTCTGATCATCCTTGAGATGGTTCTACACCTTCATTTGAGTCCAGCTGTGTTTGATTATACTGATTGGACTTGATTAGGAAAGCCACACACCTGTCTATATAAGACCTTACAGCTCACAGTGCATGTCAGAGCAAATGAGAATCATGAGGTCAAAGGAACTGCCTGAAGAGCTCAGAGACAGAATTGTGGCAAGGCACAGATCTGGCCAAGGTTACAAAAAAATTTCTGCTGCACGTAAGGTTCCTAAGAGCACAGTGGCCTCCATAATCCTCAAATGGAAGACGTTTGGGACGACCAGAACCCTTCCTAGAGCTGGCCGTCCGGCCAAACTGAGCTATCGGGGGAGAAGAGCCTTGGTGAGAGAGGTAAAGAAGAACCCAAAGGTCACTGTGGCTGAGCTCCAGAGATGCAGTCGGGAGATGGGAGAAAGTTGTAGTAAGTCAACCATCACTGCAGCAATCCACCAGTCGGGGCTTTATGGCAGAGTGGCCCGACGGAAGCCTCTCCTCAGTGCAAGACACATGAAAGCCTGCATGGAGTTTGCTAAAAAACATCTGAAGGACTCCAAGATGGTGATAAATAAGATCCTCTGGTCTGATGAGACCAAGATAGAACTTTTTGGCCTTAATTCTAAGCGGTATGTGTGGAGAACACCAGGCACTGCTCATCACCTGTCCAATACAGTCTCAACAGTGAAGCATGGTGGTGGCAGCATCATGCTGTGGGGGTGTTTTTCAGCTGCAGGGACAGGACGACTGGTTGCAATCGAGGGAAAGATGAATGCGGCCAAGTACAGGGATATCCTGGACGAAAACCTTTTCCAGAGTGCTCTGGACCTCAGACTGGGCCGAAGGTTTACCTTCCAACAAGACAATGACCCTAAGCACACCGCTAAAATAACGAAGGAGTGGCTTCACAACAACTCCGTGGCTGTTCTTGAATGGCCCAGCCAGAGCCCTGACTTAAACCCAATTGAGCATCTCTGGAGAGACCTGAAAATGGCTGTCCACCAACGTTTACCATCCAACCTGACAGAACTGGAGAGGATCTGCAAGGAGGAATGGCAGAGGATCCCAAATCCAGATGTGAAAAACTTGTTGCATCTTTCCCAAAACGACTCATGGCTGTATTAGATCAAAAGGGTGCTTCTACTAAATACTAAGCAAAGGGTCTGAATACTTATGACCATGTGATATTTCAGTTTGTCTTTTTTAATACATTTGCAAAAATTTCTACACTTCTGTTTTTTTCTGTCAAGATGGGGTGCTGAGTGTACATTACTGAGATATAAAATGAACTTTTTTGATTTTTGGAAAATGGCTGCAATGAAACAAAGAGTGAAAAATTTAAAGGGGTCTGAATACTTTCCGTACCCACTGTATTCCTTTTGTGCATGTAACAAAGTGGAAAAAGCCTAAAGGGAGTTCCCATCTCCCACAGAAAACCCTGCTCTGGACTGAAAACTGCTCGTTTGTAGTCCAGCCTCATAACGCTCGCCAAGCGGCTACTCGGACACGCCCTCAAAAACACTGGGTGCTTCTCAAGTCTCTTATTTGTCGTTTACTCGCTTGAACCGGAAGTTGTTGGGTTTTTTTTTTTTTGATTCTCCGTCTAGTTAAAATCTGAGTTAAGTAGGTCTGAACAACAGAAGCACAACACACAACCTTCTTCATTTAAGCACATTGGAAAGTTTGTCAGCAAGAAACCTGTTTTACATAATTTATCGTCATTTCTAGTCAGTCACATGAGGCTGGTCATTCCTGTGTTTAGTCCAAATAGATAAAACATAGTAGCCTAAACAAGTAATGAGTCAAAACTAAACTGCACTAAAGTCTCTAATGAAGCAAGCAAAGGAAAATAAATCCGTTCATCCAGCCATCAGCTGATGAAAGAATGAATGAAAACTACTGTGGAGTGATCGAGCCCATGACAAGTGATGTGACTTGTATAAATTAAATGTAGGCCTGTGCAGTAGGCTACTGTTAAAGGATATCTGAAGAGGAAATAAACTGAAAGCCTAAACTGAGCTAAAGTAGACTTAGATACGAGTGACATCTTTACAATTTCCCTGACACGCTTTGCCTAATAAATCCCAAGACATCATATTCTGGGTTATTCAATAACGAATTCAGAATCAATAAATGATATAATATCAGCATTGTGCCAGTAGAAATGATCCCGTGCCTCTGAGCAGGACACAGTACATGTGCAGGTGTTTGTTAAACAGGTAATGGCTACTGAGAGACTTTATTAGTATCAGAACATTGCATTGATCACAAAATGGACGTCGCTTCGGAGGACGGGACGTCTCATGTCTCTAAAAACATTTCCTCGTACCTTCCCTCCTTGCTTGGTTTCCTTGCGTCTCTCCATGCATCCTCGGTGGGCGGGACTAAGACGCAAGGAAAAGACACAAGTGAGGGAAACGTGGATGCAATTAAGAGACCTGAGAAGCACCTACTGAGCTGCAGCACACAGCTCTCCTCTCCCTTCCAAACACTAGCTACCCTCCAGGCAGTCAGTGGACATAAAGTTGTTCCTGTGATGTAGAGACAGAGCTCAGTTAAAACTTTATGGATACAGATTAATAACTCACCGCTCTGAAACTCTCGCTCCAGTCCGTGTTGCCGAGCCGGTCGGCAACACGGACGGCTGAACCCGAGCTGTTTACCGGCTTCTCGCTGACCCGCCCTTCTCTGCTTCTGATTGGCTAGTAGTCCTTAACTAGGAACTGAGCATGTGCAACTCCCAACAAAGATCATTTAGAGACAAGATATATCACTCCATAGCTAAAACGAAGCCTTCAACACAGGCTGAAAAGAGGAGCAGCAGCAATGTGCAGTAGGACAAAAATATAACCATGTAAACCTGCTCTGGTACAGACTCTAAATAAGATGAGGAACCTAAAAATGAGCAGAATACCACCTCTTTAACTATTTATTATTTATCATTTAAACTTAAATGAGAGATAAACAAGCTTTATACAACTTTTGATAAACTGTCCAGTGTTGATCAACCAACTGTCTGATGGCAGTCAGATCTACGGTCTAGAAGGAGATGTCATAAAATGTGTTTAGGACGTGGCCTTTCAAAAACCTTTCATGCTTATTTACAGCGCCACCATGTGGCCGGTTGGGCTTAGATTTCTGTGGAAACGCATGCACACAATCTCCAGTTATTTCCTGCCAGTACCTCTGGGGGTCCCCGGTCCCCACTTTGAGAATCAGTGGAGTAGGCTATGGGGCCACGCCTTCTTGGAGCTTTAAACTGCATCTCATGATGACGTGGTGATCACGTGACCTGAAAATAAGCAGAATACCACCTCTTTAATGGCATCGCAGCTCAACGTTGTTAATGAGAATTGATCCAAAGAAGAGTCTCAACAAGCAGGTGAGTTTTTACCCTCTGAGGGCCGCACAGCAACGCATGCTGCCCCGAACACACCTGCTGTTTCTACATTCTACTTATTGATCACACAGACTCGGAGCCGGAGACACAGTTTGTTAAAGTCAGCTGTCCTGACGGGAAAAGAAAAGAAAGGATCATCAGACAGTCGCTCTGTAAAAATATCCAAAGTGCTGCAACATATCAGTTATCTAATAAACTAATAAATGTGCAGCTGTTACTGAATCTGATTCTTAGGGAGGAAAATGATGAACATGTGGGATTATTTAGGACCAAACTGTGTTCTCTGGAGACATCAGCTGTACCACAGGTTTCTGAGAAAATCTGCTCCACAGGGTTTTATTGAAAGACGACTTTACTTTCACTACATTTACAGCAGTTTGATAAACTCTCATTATTTACATCCTTAAAACTCAGGAAGTCTTTAATTCACTGGTTCTCTGTCAGATCAGATATGACAACTTCATGTTAAACACATCAGCAGAAACAACACAATGAAAACTACAGCATTTAGTCATCACCATCATCATCATCTTCATCTTCATCATCATCAGTAGCAGCAGCAGCAGCATCATCTACAGTCACACAGACCTTCGCTGGTAAAACCTTCAGTGGGAGTTCATCCACAGTGCCAATAAATGGAAACATCCTGTCAGTGAAAGTGTGTATGAAGGTGTGTATGTGTGTGTTAGTATCAGGATCAGAGAACGACAGCTTTCCTCTGTTCCAGTCCAGATTCACTCTGATCCTCTGGAGCTTCTTCTGCATGCTGAGAACAGAAGGTGGAGCTGGTGGTGACTCTACTGAGTATTTATCTCTATAGAACCATATTCCCCATAATCCAGACTCTATGTCTCCCTTCCTCTGGACAGACTCTGCTAACACACCCAGTAACCAGACTGTACTGTCTCCAACCTCGACATCCCAGCTGTGAGTCCCTGAGTTAAAGCCCTCAGAGCCCAGGACAGAGTAGGAACCACCAACCCTCTCTGGATTGTCAGGAAGCTGCTGTCTCTCTCCTCCTCGTCTCACACTGGTCAGATCTTCAGACAGGATGAGTCTTGGATGAGCAGTGTTTGGGTCCAGAATGAGAGGAGTGTAGGAGACCATGTCCTTCATCTTGTTCCAGATGTTGAAGGTCAGGTTGCCCAGGTGTTTGGCCTGGTCTATCAGAGCTCCTGAGGGCAGCTGTGGATCATCCAGCAGGGGGCGCTGCTGGACTCTTTCCACTGCAGCCTTGTAGTTGAGCAGGAATGAGACGTCTTCAGCTCTCAGCTCCTCCTCTGTGGCTCTGACTGTGTCTGAAAGAGCTGCTATCTCTCTGCTCAGAGCCTCCATCTTCTCCTTCATCATCTGACTCTTCTGCTCCTCTTCCTCCCTCAGTGCAGCCATCCTGGCCTCCTCTTCCTCCTCTAGAAACTGCTGAAGCTTCTTAAACTGCTCCTTAATCTGCCTCTCTGTGTGTCGGGCCTGGACCTTCATGTGTTCTGCTGTTTGATCAGACTTCACTTTAACTCGTTCACAAACCTTTAACTTCTCCTTTAAGGGCTCCAGAGTTTCCTGGAGTTCCTTCTTGTGTTGTCGTGCAGCTTCATCGACGGGTCTGAATCTGTGGTTGATGTGTTTTTCTGAGTCTCTGCAGACGAGACACACTGGCTGCTGATGGTCCAAACAGAAGAGTTTGAGTTTCTCAGAGTGCAGACTGCAGAGAGCCTCTGAAGCTCTCTGATCTCTCTCCTGTAGGAAACTCTCACACAGGTTCTTTAAAGCCAGATTAGGAGGCATGAAGCTCTTTGAATGTCTCCTCTTGCAAACTGGACAGTCCTGACTTCCTCTCTCTGTCCACCAGCTCTGCAGACAGCCTTTACAGAAGCTGTGGCAACATGACAGGATGACAGGATCTTTAAAGATGTCCTGGCAGACAGGACAGCAGAGATCTTCCTCTAATCTGGAAGCCATTTAGTCTCTGAGTGAAGCTGAAGTCACAGCAGCAGACGCTCAGACAGGAAACAGTCAGCCACTCCCTCCTTCAGTAACGGTCCTGAAAGTTACCTTCACTTTGAGTCTTTGTTCTCGTGAGTAATGATTTAAAAAATTAAGAAAAATAATGGTAATAAATACATAAAAACAAATAAAATGGATTTACAAAGAAATGCAACTAATCGAAATACATAAATTAAAGCCAGATTAAAAGGGTAGGCAGAGAGTCCCAGAGGGAGGGGGCAGCACTGGAAAAGGATCTGGTCCTGAGTGGCAGAGACAGGAGGTTGGCGTCAGTAGAGCGAGGTTACAGGAGGGAGTGTGTCGGTGAGGCAGGAGGGGGTCTAGTTGTGGAGGGTATTATGAGCGAGGAGAAAAACTTTAAATTGGATCCACTGTGTGACAGAGAGCCAGTGGAGGTTCTGGAGGACAGAGGTGATGTGGTCACGGGAGTGGGTATGGATGAGCAGGCGAGCAGCAGAGTTCTGGATGTGCTGTAGTTTATTTAGGACGTGGTAGAATGGTGTAGTTGATGGTGTCAAAAGCTACAGTAAGCTCAGTAAGGAGAGGAGAAAGTCGTTGAAGAGGCCTGTTTCCGTGCTGTGTTGTGAGCAGAAACTAGATTTAAAAGGTTCGAACAGGTCGTGGGAAATTAGGTGGGCTTCGATTTGGAAGGCAACAACCCGTTCCGGTATTTTGGGGGGTAAAGTCCAGGTTTTCTTGCAGATAGATGATACTGTTCCTTGTCTGTGGGGGTTAATTGTTCGTGTATGTTTTGGTAATGCCTCAGGGCTCCAGTAGGGGGATCGCGCTTCACTTCCTCATGCAATACAGACGAGTGAAGACAAGAGCTGCGTGTGTGCGTTTCTTCATCCTTCTCCCGTTACTATTCCCCTTGTTTAAGGGCACAACATTGTCACTGGGTTTGAGAAAGGTGTTCATTCTGGAGAAGAGAGCCTTGGGATTGGGTAGAGTGTATGAGGTGTGAGTAATAGGTGGGCTGTATATGTAGGCTCGGCGATGCACCGTGAGACCAGTTTTCTTGTAGGGCCTTTCAAGCTGGCGCTTGCATGATTTCATTGAGTTCAGGAGTGTTCCAGGGGACTAAGTGTGAATGAGACTGTTTTGCTTTTGATGGGAGCCAGCTGATCAAGACAGGAGGAGAGTATTTCATTTTAGTAGCTGGCAAGATCATAGGGACGATCAGACAGTGGGGGAGGGGAGACAGATATTTTACTGGCAAGTGAGGCTGAAGAGCTAAGGATACAGAATTGAGATTTCTGATCATCTGTTTGTGTTTTGGGAGGCTGATTGCAAGGTGGTCAGAGGTATCAATGCCTCATCAGCCACTGTGCATCCGCATAAGCGACGACCTCACTTGGACACTGAACGCCACACGGCAGGTCAAGAAGGCTCAACAGCGGCTGAGACACACGGTGGTTTGGACCATGTAAGCAACCCGTTCTCACTCTCAAGTCGTCACATATGGACACATGGTCGAGACCAGCTGGCGTCAGTTTGTGACTCGCTGCTTATTCTGGGGATTCTGCTGTTAAAGGTCTTTAGATTGAAAACTGTTAAATAACATCCAGTTTAAAATCAGTTCACATAAAGACGTTTAGTGCTGATGAAGGGGTGCTGGAGCTCAGCACACAGACTGTGGGGGTTCGTCACATTAAAGTTTGGGAATCCATCAGAAGAACTGTGAAAGTGGACGAGTGAGAGTCATTCTGGCCGTGTTGAACAGACCTTTGAATCTGGTCCTGTTGGGTCTGGATCAGCTGTTCCGGCTCCATGGCCTAACGTAAACACAGATGAAATAATATTAATAACTTTTTAGTTCATGTTGCTGGTCTCCACGCCATTAGGCAGAAATTCCTACACTAGATATCTATCTGAAAAATTTAAGGATGTGATTCCATCAGCTTTAAATTCATTACCCCGAAGTCCCAAAGTAACGGAGGACTCCTATGCTAATTTCAGTTCCTCCCAAATCAATCATCTTGTTGATAGTGCTGCAGGCTCGTTGCCAATGACACTCGACTCTGTAGCCCCTCTAAAAAAGAGTCAAACAAAATGAAATAGAAGATAAAAAGAAGATAAAATCGAAGGAGACAAATGAAACAGTAGAATGACAGAGTGGAAGATGAATAAATAGTCCCATGGAAGTCAATTTTAGATTTGTCTACATCAATGTAAATCCTAAATCCACTATAAGCTGCTAAGCACATTCTGGTTTTTGTGATTTCATGGGGACCAGTCAATAATAATATCTTAGCTTCATTACTGTGCTACTGAAAGCAAATTGTAAACCGTGATATAATTCAATCTTCCATAACATAAATTGGCTTGAGATAGAATTATTCCAAGTCTCTCACTAGTTAGTGCATTCCAATGCATTGAGCATTTAGAGCGGCAAGGTATATTCCAATCAAACAAGCTTCCACTTAAATAATATCTAATTTACTGTGGTATGACTAATATATGTCTGAATTGTTGTTTTCTGCACTTTGTGTTTTTCTGTGTTTCAGAGAGTCAGGTTATATCTAGTCAGAGGATAGAGAATAAGACAGTAGTGTGTCATTCATAGCGATGCTGCACCACAGCAGGGCAGCAGGGCACCATGACACCTCAACAAGCCTCGCATCACAATTCCCAAAAAACGGATAAAGGTTAACTTTGTAGATATCTCAAAACTATTTACATTTTGATCAATATGCCCTTCATCTGTTTGATATCAAACTTTGTTACTGTATTATCTTAAAGATTGAATGCTCAAAATTGTAAAGTTTAAGTGCCAAATCCTTTGTTTGTTATAATTGCTGTACAGGTTGTGAGTCTTTGAAGAGAAGGATGTGGGAGAAAGAGGAGATCCTTGCTGTCGAGGAGCACATGATCACTTCTTGCCATCTTCCAGGAAAAAGTGACTGTGATAAGTGCCTTGAACTGGAGAAAGTAACACTTAAAAACAGAGATTGGCAGGCCATTAAATTCTACATTAAGAATCAAATCACAGCACTCAAAAACAAAGTTTAAAATGTTTCTTTTGGCACCTGTTGTGCATGTTATATCACATGTTATGTTCATTTAAGACGTCTCAAATGTGGAATGTTGGGATTAGATAGGTGGTACCCGGCACTAAGAAACTTTGAGATGTTGCTTGTAAAGTGTGTGTCTGTGTGTTGAGACAATTGGGGACATTTTTGGAATACACAACAGTTTATTGGGGACAAAAATTACCGCTCCCATTTAGATTTCATAATACTCATTACCTACGTTCTCCAACATGCATTTCTGTCCTACAATTGCCACTGTACCCCTCTCAGTCTGTGTATAATCCTAAACACTGCCCTAGTGCAAGGGTATGGAACTACATCATGCTCAAGTCCCCGATTTCACAATAAATTCTCTGATAAAAGTGTATCACCTCTCCTTGTTAAATATAACAAATCTGTTGCTTTTAAGGTTGTCATCCAAGCAAAATGCAATCCAATAAATAATATATTTATATTATTAACTTGTGATTATTTTTATATTTTTTTTCAGATACCATTATACATGCTATTTTATGGCCCTTTTACAATGGTAAACATGTTTCATTTACAAGTCTAATACAAATCCTTTAATATTAGCGTAAACGACAAATACATCCTACCACCTTTAGTATAAACTGAAATGATGTAAAACAGAGAAAATAAATCAGCTTTACCAGCTTCCTAATTATACTGTTAGCATATCAATTTACATAAGAAACAGTTTACTAGTGTGAAAGTACTGTATATATAACTACAAATAAATACAGGTAAAGGCTTTTATAGTGGATGATTTATTATTTAAGATATGTGATGTCAGAAAACTGATTCACGACTAAATTGGAGAAGATTTTTTTCTAAGAAGATTTGAGCGATGTTGGGAAATCTGAGAGAATGAATTCGGAGTTTCCAGGAGCTCAGCGCTCTACAGTTGCCGATCTTCCATCATGTGTGATGGTGTGACACGTCTGGGTGAGTTTGCAATAATTAGATTTCTTAATTTGCTTTATAGATTAAATTATTCAATCATGTGTTTGTAACATTGATTTAATAAATATAAGATCATAGAAAATTGTTAGACTAAACATTTAGATTTAACTAAACTTGTTAACTTGCTTGCAATCCCCGTATACTTACTAGAGCAGGGGTGTCCAAACTTGTTTTTTAAAGAGGGACAGATTTAACATTGTGAAGATGCCTGGGTGCCAATATTAACATTTTAAAAATAAAAAATGAAATTTAAAGTTGCACACAAATGCACTATTCTGTAACAATCATTGTAACAATAATTATTTTTTATAAAAATGACAATGTAACAAATCTAAGTCAAATCAGGCATGAACAAATCTAAAAAACAGTTCCTTTCTTTTACATCCAAAGTCACATAACAAAGAATAAATTGTATTGAATACATTGAACTTGCATTAAGTTGATGCAATCTTAACCTCATTTTCATTCTAAACCTGACTTATTATAATGCATGTCTGTTAACATTTAAGTTTAAAACATATAACTCCTACAATGGTCAGTTTCCATCTGCCTTGAATTCTTTTCATTCATTATAAATTTGGCTGAAATATGAGCTTTAGTGTGAAAGATGGACCACTGGTCTGGTTAACATGTAAACATAACATGAACATACTTGTTTTTCATTTTCTCTTAAAGGACGAGGCTTTTTGCTTCAGCAACAGAGATTTTGTATTAGAATACAGAGGGAAACGTATTCCTTCAGACAGTCCTTCTGCCTTTGAGAGCTACAGTGAGACTGAGGTAACATATCTCTTTGATTTTCAATGGAAAGAGAAATCTTGGTGGTAAGTAAAATTAAATACGCCATTTTTGTAGCTGTATTTTGTAATTATGTTCAATTGTAATTTAAGCTTAGAAAGTTCGAAATCACTTTTTGGGAAATTAGGGGTATGTCTCCACATCTGTCTCTTTCCAATAATCCCCCTATTTTTCTACTGTAATAAAAGTTTGTGAAAGTCACCGTGACACAGTAACTTGATACTCTGTGTGTTTTATGATGCTGCATTGTCCAGATGATGTTTAGTGTTT